TTCCTGTAAACAATGTCCACATGTTTAGACCAGATTCCTGGAGGAGGGTGGTGGCTATATCCAGTCTCATTTTCTTTTTCTTTCTTTCTTTGTCATTACTGTTAATTGTATTCTTATTGATTAAAAACAGAGTTATTGAGAAAGTTTATGAAATTCTGTTTTTTTCTCTATTTTTACATATCTTACAGTCCCAATCAGAGTTGAAACTTTCTTTACATCCCAGCCCAAAGTAATTTGTATAGTATAAATAAGGAATAAATATGAGTAATTGCCAGAGTTAGACAGGGGGGGCATTCTGTGGCAAGATGGCCTGCTATAAAATGCCCCCCTAGCTAGAATCTCAGCCTTATGGCCCAGCCAAAAGTAATTCATACAGCATAAATAAGGGGTAAATATGAGTGACTGGTGCAAGTTTGGTGTATGTAGCATTTTCCCAGGCAGAGTTAGACAGGGGGGGCATTCTGTGGCAAGGTGGCCTGCTATAAAATGCCCCCCCAGCTAGAATATTTTCCTTATGGCCCAGCCCAAAGTAATTCATACAGCATAAATAAGGGGTAAATATGAGTGACTGGTGCAAGTTTGGTGTATGTAGCATTTTCCCAGCCAGAGTTAGATAGGGGGGGCATTCTGTGGCAAGATGGCCTGCTATAAAATGCCCCCCCAGCTAGAATCTTTTCCTTATGGCCCAGCCCAAAGTAATTCATACAGCATATATAAGGGATATATTTGAGTAACTGGTGCAAGTTTGGTGCATATAGCAGTTTCCCAGCCAGAGTTAGACAGGGGGGGCATTCTGTGGCAAGGTGGCCTGCTATAAAATGTCCCCCCAGCTAGAATCTCAGCCTTATAGCCCAGCCCAAAGTAATTCATACAGCATAAATAAGGGATATATATTAGTGACTGGTGCAAGTTTGGTGCATGTAGCAGGTTCCCAGCCAGAGTTAGACAGGGGGGGCATTCTGTGGCAAGGTGGCCTGCTATAAAATGCCCCCCCAGCTAGAATTTTTTCCTTATGGCCCAGCCCAAAGTAATTCATACAGCATAAATAAGGGGTAAATATGAGTGACTGGTGCAAGTTTGGTGCATGTAGCAGTTTCCCAGCCAGAGTTAGACAGGGGGGGCATTCTGTGGCATTCCTTATGGATGGACGATTTGCAATACGACTTCTTAGCTGTAATGTGCACACGGGGTTTAGAGTGAGTGGTGAAATTTTGGTGACTTTTGATTACTTTTGTTCTATGGATCGATGTTAGATCATTTCCAGGCGTGACGGTGCTGAGTATTAAGTTAAACGCCGTATTATATTATACGACGACAGAATAGAAGAAAAATTTCAGCAGAATGGATTCAACAAAGTGTCAAAAATATCTTTCAACTAAATCAGTCCCTTTTTGCGATTGAAAGCGACTGTATTTGCACAGACGAGCATTGTCGAGAGGAAAAGCATTACTGTAGCGTTTTAATGAAAAAGTTACCGTCACATTCGTGACAAATTACAGGAGGTTGTGAATGATAACTTAAGGTTATAATGTAAAAAGGCATAATAAACAACTAATTTGAGTTTTTTCAGTCGGTTTAAGGCAAGAAAATGAATTTACAGCGAGCGTTCGCTTCTGCTGCCCTGGAGAAGCGACTTTGCCTTTAAATGGAGCGATGACGTCAGGGGAGGCAATCTCTGGCAGGGGGGCAGATTAGGGCACAACACCTGCAGCATACAGGATCGTCACGGGCTAAAAATCCTGAAATCTGCTGTATGTTCATCAGTGATTTGTTGCATCAATATGCCATGATATTAGGGAAATATCTTAAGATGTGAAAAAGATTATTATATCCACTGAGTCGCATTTAATTAAGCAGAAGATAAGAGATATTCACATGGTCACGTGACCTAAACCAACAGCGGCGCCTGTTGATACACCATTCCAGTCTTCACCTTGTATCAATTTTATTTCAGACTAAGGACATACTTGGAATATATATTATTCTTTCGGATTGAAGAATATAAAGAGATACACCTTCCCTGAAAGTTTCATTGAGATATCTTGATTATTAAGGAAACTACAAGCGTTTTTATATAAAAAGTTAGGTATTTGGTCACAGTTTTCTACACACATTCCATTTTAAAAAATAGGGCTAATTAGCGAACTTCTTTTGCCAATATTTTCCTTATTTGTTAAGATATCTGAGTGATTTTGGTGTCATTGTCTTTGTTTATTCAAGCTTCATTTAATTTGGTTGAGTTTTAAATTTTTCTTCACATACCTAAACATATTTAGGCAACAACGGACACGCTTGGCAATGGTATTCCACACAAAAATAGGCTTAAAAATAAAGGAATCAATGGTCTTAATAGTCTAAAGAATATACAGGCTAAGCATCTACGTTTCAAATTCCTCAATTTTTTCTGTTGATGCTGCTGCTGCGTCTCTATAAAATAAAATTTCACTAACAGCGTTACGTGAAATTTAAAAAATCCTATTAGACCTACTTTGAATGACAAAACGAATTTATTTGATTACCAATATTTACTAATATAGGCTTTTATACTTTAATTTATAGACTTGATATACTACAACCATATAAAACTTGCTCACGTTTTGCTCTGGCTTCCGTCTGTTCGCATAAAACACTCTCGTGTTTCTGAGAAAAATTATTCCAAAGTGAATCTTTACTCACTGAAACAGTTTCACCACCTTGTTATTCTTGTTCTACATTATTGTCATCTATACGTTTGATAAGAATATTACACTTGTATGATCTATCAGTTTCCTTTGTGAAATAGTTTGCGAATTCCATCTCGGCCAATTTCTGTAATAGTCTTGATAATTGTACAGATGAATTCTGGGTAGATTTGGGCACGCCTCAGAATCGTAGTGTGAGCGGTATTGGAAAATTGGAGCGAGACAGAGCGACCGCTCCAGCCTTAATTAAAAAAACCGCTCCTCGCTCACGCTCCGCTCCGCTCACATGCTCTGCTGTACACAATTACAAATTCTACTGTTACAGGCACTCAAACCCTTTTCACCAATAATGCCTTCATAATCATGCTATTTTCATTAAGGGAAACCGGAAAGGCAAAAGTTAATCTTTGGAATTCTACAAAATCTGTGATTTCATAGATTGGTTGTGTCCTGTCTTTCTCCGGTATGTAAAGGATACTGACGGTACTGCTGTACAGAGGGAGCTTGAGCAATTTAACTTTGGCATCTACAGCGTCGAAGTCGAGTGAGGTGATGCCACCACTCCACCAGCTGATGTTGGAATAGTGATCGGGGCTGTTGAAGTTCTGCATGACCTGGGAGACGTCACCTCTGCATGTGCACTCTTAATGGGTGTGATATATGCACTGAACTTCAGTTATCCTATGGAACTGAAAGCCTTCTTTGAAGTACTTCAGAAGCTCTTCCTTCAACTGGATGCTAGCAGACTCTCAACCAAGGTACAGATGCTCAAGAACAAACTGTATGAATGATCGAAACAGAATGCTGCAACACGAGCTGACTTGTTTGTAAAAATGTTAATTTTTCCTTCCATTGTACTAAATTAAAAGTTGACAGCAGCACGTTTATTGTTATGGTTTGACTATTACAAAAAAAATTGAGAACTACAAGCCTGTTTTATTGTTACACAATAACATTGAAGAATCAAAATTGTTTATGCTGCTTCGAGGTGGTTTATAATTGTTAATGTTGGGTAGCAATGCAACACAAGTTGACATTTGTTAATATAATTACATTTCAGGGTATTCCCTCTACAATATTAAAATATTCCCTTCCCTGCTCGCCTTCGTACCGTAGCGTGACACATACAATTTCGTGGGACCTGTTGACAAAATAATTTTAATTAAAGTCAAAGTTTAATTTTTGTGAGTGTAATAAGTGGAGACGTCTAAGATGTTGAACAATAATACAAGTAGCCAACATGGTTTTTTTTTGTTTTTTTTTTGCTATTTCAGGACAAAATTTGTTCAACTTTTACTGTATCATATTCAAGAAAAGGCACTTTGAAATCCATGTTATTGTATGTTATTAAAGTTTGACAGGCTATTTCTCAGAATTTTCTCATAAGGTATAAACAAGTCTTATACCTTCTCAAAAGCAAGGTCCTAGGCTGTGTCCAGACAAAAATTGGTCAAGTTGTATTGTAACATTTAAAAAATGTACTTTCAATCCATTATTTTGTGTTATGAGCCATTTCTCAGAATTTTCCCTTATTGTATATAAAAAGTGTTACAGCTTCCGAAAGGTAAGGTCCCAACCTAAATTTGAACGAACTTTGGTCAAAATTTACTGTACCATCTTCAAGAAACTGCAGTTTTAAATCTATGGTTTTATGCACATTTGCTTATGTGAGCCAAGTCTGACAGGCCATATCTCAGAATTTTCCGAAAATGTATAAACAAGTCATAGAGCTTCTGAAAAGCAAGGTCCACTGTTATTATCCAGTTAAAATTTGCTCACTTCAAGAAAATGTACTGTGAAATTTTTTTTGTTTTTTTTTTGTTTTTGTTTTGACTGGGCAAAGAATTGATAAGACCTCAAGTCCAAAGTGCCATTTCTTGAAAATGATAAAGGAAAATTTGAACAAATTTTGCCTGGAAATAGCCTTGGACATTGCGTTTCAGATGCTACATGATTTGTTTAGACATTTTGGGAAAGTAATAAAAATATTGTATTAAAATGCATCCTGTGCTTCATACATATGAGCATTAATCCTTTTCATATGTGCGCAATTTCTTGTCAGTTTTGTCTGTCATGCTTAACCTTTCCATGCCACTAGCTTGTATGTGAAATTGTATTATAATGGTGCATTACTATCAAACGCATATAAACATCCCTGTCTGCAGAATACCATTTCTTACATCTAGTGCCCTCCAAAAGGCAAAAAAACATGTGTTAGTGCAGTATTTGTTAGAAAACATAGGGGGTAATTCCGAGCACTTCTGGCAGCTTAAGGAGAATTAAGCAACACCAAAGAATAGGCGGAGTCCTGCCTTTTAAATTGTTAAACTGAAGTTACATAAAACAACACCCATTTGGCTGAATGAAATCCTGTTTTTGAACATAAAACCTTTTACTCTTGTTCTTCACAGCTTTGTTGAACTGAAGGCCATCTGCAGAAAAAAGCAGTATATGACGGTAAGTACTCGATTAGATGACATTTTAAAAATCTATTAACGTGATTTCAAATCACATAACAGAACTTTTAAATGAAAATATTAGAGTAGTTTAATGATTAGGCCTAAAATATCTCGGATACTTTATGAAGTATCAATCTAAACTGTACTGGAGAGTGAATGTACTGGAGACTGTGATAAATTTAAAACAAGACTTTCATATGCAATGAGCTATATTTGAGTTCTAAAATATGTTGGATTAAATCAACATTATTACTTGAATAAATAATTATTCTTTATTCATTCCTTTTCTACACCCACTTCTCCTCTGGGATACACTCTGGATCCCTGCGACCCTGAATTTTTTAAAAATATTTTCCATATGCCTACATATGTTAATATTTATATATATATATATACATGTGTGTATATATATGTATATATCTATATTTTCATTTATATGTGTATGTATATATATATAAATATAAATGAAAATATAGATATATACATATATATACATACATGTATATATATATATATATATATATATATATATATATATATATATATATATATATATATATATATATATATATATATAAATGAAATACCTTAAATTTAAGTAGTGTTGGGCAAGTAAAGAAGGCTTCTGAGTATACATACATTAAAGCTCACTCCATGGGACAAACCAAATTAAAGTGTAAATTTGTCGCAATTTCCCTCCACAATCCCTAACCCCATCACCCCACTACAGGCAGTTGACGTGATGGTACTTTACGAAGATAATGAGTGCAGTGTGTGCTACCTACCCTATTCCCGGCACGAGCGTGTACCTCGGGTCCTGTACTGTGAACATACCTTCTGTGGACCCTGCTTGGAGCAGCTGGCCCAGCCTAAAGATGGTCTGTTGTCTGTGTGCTGCCCACTTTGTCGACGGATAACTTGTGTGACTGGAGAGCATGGGCTGCAAGCTACACTGTGGGTCAATTCTGATCTATGGGAGCAGATCTCTGAGAATAAGGAGGAAGAAGGAGAGCATGTTAAGCAAATCCTTCTAGAACATGCTTCAAGTGATGAATGGTAAGCTTTTTCTCTCTGTGACCATCTCCTAGCCCAATATATAAATGAGATATTGTATTGAATTCCTTTCAAGTTGCATACCAAGCTGTAGGAGTGGGCGATATTACCAAAATGTCATATCACAATGTTTTTGGTTATAGCAACCCACAATATATATCATGAAGTTTTTGGACTGTAGGCTGTGTAGTAGCCTAATGTTGACCATTTAACTTTAACCAGCAAGACTATCCTTACAAGAACATTGCTTGTAGCATTATAAAAATAAACCTAATTATTATGGTGTGTAAAAGACTACACATATGCGACGTGGCCCAGCTGACTCATGACAGCAAAAGAGTTTTTAAATTATTTTTAATATTAAACTTTCAGAAGTTTAGTGTATAGATGAAAACGATTGGTTATATTGTCCCCTCCAGTATGAACGGTAAAATATTTGCAAATTACAGTAAATTGGTCAACGTCGGATTTCGGCTATACAAACAATTACCACACAATCAAAGTAGAAACTTTTTTGGAACATATTCTTCCTAATCCATGCTGCACATATCTGTAGCCGACCCATCTATGGACTGTGCGTTGTTTACCATATGCCACAAGTACAATATTTTTAGCAGTTCAATTGTATATAATATGTATATAATAATAGTTTTGTTTCACATAGGTCTGTTTTTGTTGTATTACTACTGTAACTGGGTATTCATTGGAAGCTCATGTTAGTTGTGCTTATAGCTAGTCAACTCCTTGTCATAGTTACCATTACCAATTAATCATTCTGTTACTCAATTTTGTGAATGACAGGCATGGACACAGTGGTAGCTGTGGGCCATTTTGAAAGATGTACCAGCCTTGACATTTTATTCACACTATACCTCTGAAACACTCTCCATCTTTATTTGCATTTGTTGACAGGCCTTCCACTAAAAACTCCATGCCCAAGCTCAGACTTCCCACCTTCCTGAAGAAATTCAGTCTTACCAAGCAGCAGCAGCAAGAGACAGTTTTGCCAACCTCAAATGTGTGAGTCTTTCTTTCCCAGTTTCTGGCTGTGTTGTTTTTATCAATAGAGGTGTTTTGTAATACTGTGCCCGTATGTGTCAAGCCAGTTTGAAAATATGTGCAATAATGTTGCATAATATTAGTCATACACTCATTATCCTGCATTAAGGTATTCTCAAATTCCATTTGCCCAATAAATTGTGAAAATCCTCACATTGTAATTTTTTCTTCACCTGTAACATAATTTCTATTTTCTTAATTAATTACAAGTTTTTTTTATTATTATATATTTAGCTTAGGGAGATTTACAATGAGTATAAATGATAAAAAAACAGGGAAAAAAAACACAACAAAGAACAATAAATCACAAAATATAACATAAACAAGAAATCACAAAATACTTACATAACCTAAAGAACTATAATTTGAATTAACTTTTATAGTTCTGTAAATATATAATGATGCAATTCAGGTGAATAACCTTTTTTCATCCATTTAGTCTGAATGAAATTTTGTCATACAAAACATGTTACAAAATAATGAAAAGTGAAAAATAATTTGAAGCTTCAGAAGAGGATAAAAATGCATATGTACATTTTTATGTAGAATACAGTATTACAATTATATGTGAAAGTTTGATAAAAAATAATTCTGTTAAAGTCCTAATTGAAAGAACTGCATGAGGTGTCAAATACAAAACAATAACACTATAAGAAACATACACAAATATTGTATTTCAGTCATTACACACGTCATGAAACAAACAAGCAGATTTCATGAGGCATGTTGGGTTCTTGACTTACATGCTTCAGACATTTCTTTGCATTCACATTAATTTCAGTTTAGTTTTTGCCCATACAACTAATTATTTTGATACTGGTTTCCTAGTAAGGAGCAAATAGTAGGCAGATTTTTCATGTGTTTAACAAGAACTTGGAGGAATTTGAAAGGTTTCCTCCAGAAAGCACACCTAGTTCACTAGTGCACTGCCACCTCTTCCCTTTTTCAGCTACCGCCTCCTCACCTTAATTTTTTGTTTGTTGTGTGACCATGTGCAGTGTAGTGATCTCAACTCAATTTATAGTTCTTTTTTCCTTCCTTGAAATGAATGGTTATTATGTCTCCAAGATTTTACGATCTTACAAACTGATTTCCTGGAACGCATGAGTCTAGCAGTGTGGTACTATAATTGGATTTTGTTTTTATATTATGTGTACTTTCCATCTCAACTTTGATTCATGAGTTGAAGTCAGTGACTGGCAAATGTAACACTGAGCTTGCCGTTTCTTCCCTGACAGAGAGATGAAATCCTGGCGCAGACTCTCGGCAGAAGAAATGGTCTACAGAAATTAAGACTTAGACAGCCCCAAAAGTCTTTTTATGGCTCTGATAGTTTTTTTCTTTGTTTTATATGGGTATTTTAGATATATTTTTTCAAAGAATTTTGGAAAATGTGTTCAAGGTGAAGGAGTTATACTTGTGTTTGGTAACATTTTATAATGCTTTGGGACCAGTTTTATGATGCAAAAGTGGGAACTGCGGAGAAGTGTCACACTTGAGCAAGCCTTTTAAGACATTAGCTCCAGAGATACTGGCTAATCCTGCTCTCCAATCCTCACCTGTATGTCACTCTGGACAAAAGTGGCTACCAAATGAATGTAGTATAGTAATAGTGTAGAGCTGCTGCTGTAGTACTTGAGTCAGTTGTCCTCTTAGAGCAGATGTCTTTCCTTCTCTGTCTTCAAGGACCTTTTTGAAAATATTCAAAGCATCTTGTTGAGAGATACTCAAAACATACACAAAACTGTTATGATTTGTTTAGATAAAAAAGTTATGTTTTAAATCTGCTGTCCTTTGAATGTGTAAACCCAGGGGTGTCAGACTCCAGTCCAGGAGAGTTGGAGCTCTGCACATTTTTGGGTTTTCCGACACTTAATAACCTGATTCAAATTCTTGTGCTAATTATCACACAGCTCTTGAACTGAATCATTTGTGATGGAACAGGGAAAGAGCTAAGCTACACAGGCCTCCGGGAATGGAATTTGACACCCCTGTCTAAACCTGTGTCCTTATATATCCAGCCATCAGTGTTACTAAGTAGCTTTGTGAGTGTATGTGCAATTTATAAATGAGGTATTCCCATGGTTCTGTTTTTGCTCATCACATTGGTTCAAATAGCACAGAGATGCTTTTTAGTCATTTTTAATCACAGATTATATAAAATCAAAATGCAAATTGACATTCATATATATGCAGTGCATTTATGTAACATTGCATGCAGTGCACACAAATTTGTATCCATATTCATATTTGCATGAATTGTGAGTTGGGTTGAGCTTCCCAAAGGAGAGATGGATAGAAAAGGAGGGAGAAGTAATAATAAACTTGCTGCACATTTGCAACAAAAATTGATAAAAGTACTTATGGTTGGACTAAGGTGTGATAAGTTTCCTCTAACCATTAGGAAGTATATGTTGTTGACGGGAATATTTCAGAGTTTTCTGACCCTGCAGGCTTGGGAAGAACAGGATTGGGCAGGTCAAGTCTCAACTAGGTAACAGTAGCAGTTAGAGCAAAATACTCACAGATACTGAGCTGTTTGTTTCATAGCAACACACCCAATATGTGTGAGCTGTATCATTGCTAATCTGCTCACCTGCATGCTGGATGAATATGAGATGAAGTGAAATGTAACACAAATCATTATTATTCCTAAATTCAGTTTGAACAACATTAAATTACAAATTACTGTTTCCTTTTGAGTTATTGGAGAGAAAATAAAAAAGAGAAACCTATGGGCTGAATCCTCCCATATTTTTTTCCACAGAACTTGTTCTACCAGAACACAGTAACATGTTTGTTTAGCAACCAAAACTTCTTGACTTCAGGGTTGAACAAAGCATACATATGAATCAGGTAATATTAGTTAATCACAATTCAGAGATTTGTCATTGGTATATTACTCTCTGGTGTCACTAATTTCAATAAGTAGTCGGTTTTTTTCTTCAACACCTAAACACTGTTGTGCAATTTATTTTGAGTCATCAGTACAGGCTAGTAAGGTAACACCCACAAGCTCAATGACTGTTTATACCATGGAAAACCTCATTTGGGAAATCGGTGAATCCTGCAAACTTTTCTTTTTGTGACACATCAAAATTGATATTTGACACTTAAACCAGTATTATTTTAATTTTGTTTCTTTTTTTTTGTTTAGTTTTTATTTTTATATCCATTTGGAATGCAGTTTAGTTTGAGTAAGTTTTCAGTGTGTTTTTATTAGTTTAAATATATATTTCTATGTAGTTGTTATTTATATTAAGTTTAAGTTTTACTATGTTAAGTTTTGGTGTGTAACAGCATTGCATTCTCTGGAAAGTCTCGTAATTTAATTTGCGCTATGACCAATATTTTCTGTGACATAACAGTAAGAACTGTAAGAGATACATTAGTAGTACATACAGAGTCCTGGACAGAATCCTTTTTTTCCCCCATGTACATTTATCTAATTAACATTTAACTGACACTTTTATCCAAAATACATTTTATATATGCTCCCTGGGATTTGAACTGTACTAGCCTACAATAGTACTATAAGCGTACTATTGTAAATTGTGCTTTAGTTTAACATGCCCATAAAAAACTCAAGCATGGGACGGGTGCAAACTCAAAATCCTCACATTTCACAAACGACTTAATTGCACAACTCTACTGACATATTCCTTTTGCACAATAAAATAAAGTTTTATATAGTATATAAACAGGATTAGCTACAGTCAACAAGAACAGTATTCAAATAAAAAATCTTAAGTATTTTTAACTCTTGGCTCGTTCACTTAGAGTATATCAATTGCACAAAAGAATAAGGGATATTGCCAAACAAGTAACTTTATCTTGCCTGATGGCAGAATTCAGATTTTGAGTGGTTAAATATTGCTTGACTTCCCACATTCAAAAGGTCAAATGTTATCTGCTTTCAACCTTCCCTTAAGTGCCACTAAGCGGCATCACTTCAATTTTGGGGAGATTTGTCTCATACCTGAATAAGTTTTAGGTCATCACCCATATAATGCCTGTAGGATCACACATGCACATATCACAGGGCCTAAATTCCAGGTGGCCTGAGACAAGGCCGAGCCTGGGACGAGAGGCACAAAAGGGGGGTTACACACATAAACACACACACACAGATATCAAGGGAGGCTAGCACTCCAACTTTTATTGCCTAAAGATTTAGGGACCTACAGACAAGCAGAGTGGAC